TCTTTAGTTAAATAATCTTGATGATAAGATATCTGGAAAGCTTAGGGATGATAAAACTTTTTCCGGAAAAAAAAAAATTCACTTTTACCCTACCCGGGTGTAAACGTCCATGTCCCACTGAAGCGAGTCTGTAGAGTAACGTAGTAAAGAAAATTTAGCGATGGAGTTCACGAACGTTTTCTTGTCGATTTTCTTCCTATTTATTTCGAAAGTAATCGCAAATGAGGACTCAAGAGGATATCTTCGAAGAGAGCATTCAATTTTTAAAGGTGAGTTAAAATGTTTTTCAGGAGATCTCACGAATTTGGTCTCTTTTGAAATATAACTTTTACAAAGTCAACAGAATCTGGGAAAACGTAACGTAACATTTCTGGTATCTTTGATGTCCATTTCCTGTCAAGAGGAAGTTATGTTCTCTCACAGCGCTTTTCTTCGTTAGATTCAGTGCGTGGTCATTTTTAGAGTGCAATTTTATTTGGCATAAGATTAAACCAAGGAATATAAAAAAATAAATTCAGTGTTTGTACAATGTAGATTTCTGCGACTGGGTTTCCATGTGACATGCATGTGTTCGTAGCTACATGTAGCACTTGAAGTTCGATCGAATAGATTTTTCCATTATGTAAACATTTTGGTTTTCTGCTTTCATATATTCGAATCAATTTTGTTCAGTCATCATACATTGCAATACTCAGTGTGTAATACATAGCGTTATTGGTTGCCAATCAAGGTACATGTAGTGTTGTTTCGTGTTCTCGATTTGCCAGAATCATGAAGATGGTGCTCCAAATTCTTTAAGGAATTAATGCGTTTGAGGTCTGAAAAACTACAAGTCATGGCTAGTAGATGCACAAGCAGAATGCGAGTGCATTCGTAACATAGGAACACGTAGGAAAACACAGGAACAATATCTTCTTTTTGGTCTTGGAATGTATGAGCTAGAGTAGACTTTCAGAAAAGTCCTTAGTCTCCAAGCCTGTGCTCTAAGCAAAATTGCGAGGTGCCCAAGGGTTCTTATGTGGGAAATCTTGGGTGCCCGGCTCTTAACCAAGCTTTCGTAAGAATGAAGTTGAACAAGTCGCCCAACGACAAAACATGGTCGCCTGAGGCACTAGGGCTCTACTTGACCACAGCCCTGGTCTTGTCTATTCATTGCCCAACAGATGAAGAACTTTTCATAATTGATTGCCACCAATTGGTGACTTCGCCCCTTGCTTAGCTGCTTCACGACCTTCACAATACCACTTCGTGAACTAAAACCATGCAGCTTGCTTCCCTTGCTAGGCTATTCAACCCTGAGACTCATGAGGTCGACTTGTGGCAAGTCTAAAGCTAGGATTTCACTATACATGTATCAGTATTATTCACAGTATTTGAGCTAAATATTTACCTGCAGGCAGACAATGTTACTGGTTAATAAGTTTGTCCTGAAAAATGTGTTGTTCTAGAAAATATACATACCCCTCCCACAGCAGGTTTGTTAGTTTCACCCCCCTTCCCCTCTCCACTTGGAATTGCCGTTAACTTTCCTTGGGGTGCATATGGATATTTTCTGGAACTGCCCATGGTGCCATCATGATTTTAGTTTTACATTACATTCACTATAAAAACTGGCATTCCTTACAGTAATTCACACACCCAGTAACTCTCTTGCAGGTATAGATTCAAACGTTTTCCAGAGTGGATAACAATTTTTTTCACCAATTGAAATATCAAATATGTTTTCATTGAACATTCGGGTCTTTTTCAGTATTGTTTGTTTTTTTCTCAAGGTGCTGGACCTTCTATTCCATATTGGGATTTTCGTGGAAGTACATTTATATCAAGTAGCTACATCAGATTGACACCTGATCATCAGAGCAAGAGAGGTGGCCTGTGGAATAGTGTGGTAGGTATCTGTTTATTTGATCTGGTAACTTGTCAAGGGAGGTAGGATGGCCTTTAAATACTCTGGATGGAGCGGTCCAGGTTTTCGCCCTGGCTGGGGACATTGTTGAGTACTTGGGCAAGACACTTCACTCAACTCACAATACTGTACATACCTCTCTCCACCCAAGTGTATAAATGAGTACCAGTGAATTTAGTGCTGGGGGATAATGCTGTGATGGACTGGCATCCCATCCAGGGGGGTACGCATTATTTGATTATTAAGCTGTGAAACTGGATTTGATTATAAATGTGTTGGTGACTTTACTTGCGTCTTTCCTGTCAGCCATGCCATGTTAAAGACTGGGAAATGCTGCTTCATTTTAAAGTACATGGTGTTGGTGATATGCTGTTTGGTGATGGATTTTCATTTTGGTATACCAAGGAAAGGATGCAAGAAGGTACGTAAGATTGCTAATTAAATAAATGACATATACAGATTTAGCCAAGCCTAAAAGCGGAGCTCCTTATTATAATAAGTTAACCTGACTTGAGCCTGCAATCCAATTGAAAACCAGTAGCTGGGCAACAGTCAACTTCAAAGAAACAATTGTGGCCTTGATGAGCTCTAAACCTGAGCCCATGATATGGTTACGTGATACTGGTCAGTGGATACCTTGTTTTGACAGGTGTCAATTGACAATAACACAGATGTCCAATATCAAAGTTGTATGCTGTAAACCAAGGCTGTTGTGCCTCAGTCCATTAGCTGGAGAATTGGCTGC